ACACACACACACACACACACAAGAACAGCTCTTTTCCTATTTTCCAATTTTCCTGAACAGCTAAACCTTCCATAAAACATTTCCAAGCACCGACGGTTTTCTGCCTGTGGTACGCCTCTGTATAGAATCTTTCCTTTGAGCTCCGGCAAGTGTTTGTTGGGCCAGCTCACATGTTCGTGGTTGGCTGTCTGTGGCACATTCCTCTGTGTTTCTGTCCTAAAAAAGAGAGGAGTCGCTGTAAATGTCAGCTCTGTGGTGGAATTTGGCGACTCGGTGCTCCAAACACGAGCACAATAATTTGTGATGCATCTTGGGGGAACTCAGGTGCTCATCAAATTAATGAAATTGAAGATAACGGCATTTTTCTGTCAGGCAATTTCTTTTCGAATTTTAGTTTTTTTCGCTCAAAACCTTTGATATCCATTTAAAAACATATTTCTCTGTGCATTTTACGAAAAAAAGATGATTAAAAATACCCCAAAATTGTAAATTTATAGTTTCAAACACTCTCAAGCTATAGAAGTCACCAGGTTTTGGCAGCCATTTTCTCTCTAATTTTACCTCTGAAACCACGGGATCCTACCTCCTTCAATGGCAAATATTCCAATTGCTATTACAGACAGAAGGGTCATTTTTCATTGAAAGATAGACAAATGACCAAGCTTTAAAAAGATACCAATAATTTCACATGCCCAAAAATTGACGAGCGCCTGATTCCATCGCGTCCTGACACATTTACAGATTCCAAGATCTCCTCTGAGCAAGACAGCGTTTGATTTTTTATGCCGATTTTGAACTATTAAAGCGATTTTACCTCTATGTTTGATGAATCATTTTCCGTTAGTTGTTTTGAGTACATATTCGTGCTTGCATACTTGCACTGAGTATACATACATACAAGGACGCGTCGTTAGCTTTTAGATGGTATCATACTGGACCACCTAGCTAATGGCGCGGTTTGAATCTTCAAAGAGGCTTTCGGGACTTAGGCTGTTTTGACTCTCCACACATTTGGCTGAGTCCTATCGAAGATGGTCGTTAAATCAGAGGTCCCTTATATTTCAAATAACCTTACAGTGTTGAAAGGGCGTTTATTCTATTTTTAAAAACACTTCTCTATACAGATGGATGTGCACTAGATCGTAAAGTTGATCCTTCGTGACTCATTGGAGCAGAGGAAGATAGGACTAACGCTAACATCACTTGAACGCAATCCCACATCATCACTCATCACCGCCATTATTTCTAAAATCATCACCGCTCTCAAATCAATGACTTACATCTATAATCCTGGAATCTTTATCTGCTGTAACAGTTACTTGTCATACTAAGTATGCATGTAATACACTATTGGACACAATCATACGCACTTTGTTCTACTAATCAGAAGGCGTCAATCTCCTACAAATGGGAAAGGGATAAAAAAAAAAAGGTCCTACTCTTGTTATTACTGATGATGTTGATGTGTTGTCTTTGTATGCTGTTGTTCCTTTATTACTCATGTTGTTATTTTCTCCATTACTCATGTTGTTATTTTCTCCATTACTCATGTTGTTATTTTCTCCATTACTCATGTTGTTATTTTCTCCTTCTTCAAAATGACTTGGCAAAAAAAAAATACCAGCAAATGTCACTTGTCTCTGGAGAATAAAATGTTGATGGTTGACTGGTGCTCTGGTGTGGTTTGCTTCTATCAAGTATCGTTATGACTACCCCCCTCCTTCTTGTCTTTGTAGGTCACAATCTAGTAACACCTCTAATCTTCTTTTTTTTTCTCTGTTTAACTTTTTTTTAAATTTAGAAAGAGTTTTACGGCCCTCGCAACTGCCCAAGCTCTAATCTTCCGCACATATTTGACAAGTTTGGATTGCAAGTGCCGTAAAACCCGTTATTGAAATGAAAGAATATCTGCGACAGATGCTTATCGAGACCTTGTTTCTTTCTCTTTCTCCCAGAACTTGGAACATGACATCAAGTTTGGGCCCATGCTGCTACATCAGAAGGCCATGTCGGTAAGTGAACCAATGCTACAAACGTATCTATAGACGGTCCAAATTTCTTGGCGGGAATTATTGTCAAATATCTCCTCAACTATTGATCATAAGTTCTCCAAGTTTTGCACAGTGACTCGTGTCAATTTGTCTTAACACATCAACATTTTTGTAAAGGCCTGCGAGCTGTATTCTAGAAAATTCTTTTATAAATACTAATTTTAAAAATCCAAGTGCGTGGTTTCTACAGATTTGTAAATGTTTACAGCTGGGATAAAATACCTCTTAATAGCAAGTCCGTCAGGTTTTTCTAATCGGGCCATTATGCTTATTGAACGCATGCTTTGATAAGCTTTAGTGCAAAAACTGTGTTCACTGTAACAATTATTTCTTGTAACAAGTTTTGCAAGTAAAAAATGTCATTGGTGAGCTGTGACGTAGGCCATATATGCGTAATCAATATGTGTGTGAGAAGCGGGAAGTGCTGTGAACAATTTCATTTTACGTGTGACAGAGATTTGAAGTATTTTGTATAAATTTACGAAAGTAAAGATTTTTAATCTTACCCCAATTGTTCCGGGAACAAAATGATTTAGTCAAGACAGATTGAAACAAACTGCTGAGCAAAGTATGGGTGACATTGATTATCCCGTTAAAGAGATATTTGAGGTTACGTTGCGCCTCGAATTTTAGACCGCTCTATAGCTTAACGTTATTATTAGTTTTTAGTAGGGAACGGGATAGAGTGTGCCCACGTCCCTCGTGACTCATTGGAGCAGAGGAAGATAGGACTAACGCTAACATTACTTAAACACAATCCCACATCATCACTCATCACCGCCATTATTTCTAAAATCATCTCCGCTCTCAGATTAATGACTTATATCTATAATCCTGGAATCTCTATCTGTAACAGTTACTTGTCATACTAAGTATGCACGTAATACACTATTGGACACTAGTAATCCTCTATAAACGGGCAAGGGATTTTAAAAAAATTTAATGTTTGTTTATGATGTATTACTGTTCATTTCTATTATGCATGTGACGGCAAGCCTTCGTGTGTGTGTGTGTGTGTGTGTGTGTGTGTGTGTGTGTGTGTGTGTGTGTG